GAAGTACAGGATGTGGGAAGAACCTGAGGGCAGGCACAGAGGTTGAACCCAAGTTGTACGTCGTTGAAGCAGTCTGAAGTTAAGGGTAACTTCATCCCTTGCTGCAGAAGGATGTCGAGCTTCTGGCATGCGAGTTTGTTGGCGCCACGAACCTCATGTCCAGCTTCTGTACCGCCGGACCTGGGCACGGAGAAGCCTATGACTTACCTGAGGCCAAAAAGAGAGCAGGGGGCAGTGCTGGACATAAAAAATGGGGTGCTGACCTGTGGGGCTCTGCTGTGTTTATACGGGGGCTGAAGTGACAGCGGTACCCCTACGCACTTCCATCTCGGGGTCTCACTTAGGAGGCAGAGCGGTGACTGACTGCTCCTCTCGTGCTGGGAGATGAGCGTCCCAGAGGAACGCCGCGCTGTGTGTCATGTTTGCACTGCTGCAATCATTCAAAACCCACTCAGAAAAGAGGTTTGGTTGGGTTTGGTTGGTTTTTGGGTGTTTTGTTTTTTTTTTCCGTGCCTGAACTCAGCAGCGCAGCGCTTGGCAGCCTCGCTTTTGGCCGGGGTACCTTGTCAAGAAAAGAAATGTGCTGAATTTAGGGGCGATCTGGAGGGGACTGGGCAGTGAGGGACAAGTCCAGAGACACGGTGCTGCCCCGGGGGAGGTATACGGTTACAAGCAGGCGACAGGCAGGCTTTCATCTGCTCTTCCAAGCCTTCTTCAGACAGGAGAGGAGGGGTAGTGACTGGCTGTGGGGGATGGAAGAGAATTGCTGTAACATGATTTTATGTCTGTGATTGCATAACAAAACCTCCTGGGAAGCTCCTGATTCAAATGGATACCTAGTTCTGGTTGTGCGGATGGAGGACTTTCAGCATTGATCGATTTGCCCACGCTTTGGTGCAGGGGAATTGCCGGACTGGATCAGTACCAGGCTCCAAGCAGGCTGGGCTGCTGTAGCTAACCTTGGCCGAAATCTCATGAAGCTGTAAGAAAGCCTTCAGAAGCGGATAATCTGCTTTATATATTCTCGCTAATAGAACCAGACCTTGAAAGATGAAATTGCGTTTCCATTCAGGGGGAGAAAAAAAAAAAAAATTAAAATTAAAAAATCCCTAGGCCAGTTGAATTAATTGGATGTTCTGCAAACATCAAACCAGTCTCTGAACTGTGAAACGCTGCCCGTCCCCAGCACGACCCAACCCACCTAGCCCAGCCACCCGATGTCTTGGGAAGGGGGGGGAACGACAGGAGAATCAGCTTTTCTGACGGGGATCCCGTGGACCGGAGGATGGAGGAAGCCCGGCCAAGATGGGTTATGCCTCTGGATGTGGCTTTGGCATGCACGCATGTCATCGGTTGGCTTTGCTCGCCGAGATTACACGATAGCCCCACCTCATAAATTTGGAGCAAAGCACATAAAGCTTTCCCTTCCATACCCTGCATTCACCCTTAATGGTCTTTCTCCACACCACGGCCTTATTAATTGGTGACAATTGGAAGTGGTTAATTCTGTGTGTGTGAGGCTGCAATTGCTTCCACTTGGCCAGGATTCAAGTACTGGGGGTGAGTCAGAATGGGTGGCAAAACTGTCTTTTCCTCAGTTCCCTTGCTTACTGGAGGGAAAGAAAAAAAAAAAAAAAAAAAAGCCACAACCCCGAGTTATTCCCTTTTATGAGGTAGGCATTGTGAGGCCAGGCAATTGAATTTACAACAGCATTGAGTATCAGAGTCTATCTGGCCCTGTCAATGAGAGTGGCGAGAAAAAAAAAGACACACATTAACCCTCAGCTCCGAGTTCCCAGGCGTTTCAATAGGGCTCCCAACTTCCCAAAGAGCCCGCTGCATACTCGATGAGACCCTTTATACCTTCTAATTACCCTCCTCACAATAGGGACAGACTCTCTTGCCTCTTTTGTAGGCGAGATAGTAACTTTTGCACACACCACCCCCCCGACACACACACACAAAATCCCTACGGCGAGGCGGCAAAGGAGAGAAATCTCAGAGCAGTTATTTCAGGAGCTCTCTGAGCAGGTAGCAAACATGTTTAAGTTCCAGGAGCGGATTTTTTTTAAGGAATCTCTTTCTTCCCATTACAACACAACACTTGCAAAGCTCTCCGGAGACATATAACACTGCCAGACCCCCTCAACCTCACCACCTTTGCCCCCCGCCCCCAGCTATTTTTCACAGGAATCCCTTCCAAAAGCCTTATTTAAGGCCATAAAGTTCGTTCATACTTTTTTTTTTTTTTTGAAGGGGCTGCACACACCAGCTGAGCTTGGCCCTACCCACTCTCACCCAGCAAAATGAAAGGAAGGGGGGGAAAAAAAAATAAATCTATTTCAAAGAGTTTATTTATTTAAACACCTGCATTTTTTTTCGGAAGTCTTCAACACAGGCACGCACACACACACAGACAAACAGGATACAAACAACTTTGGCATTATACTTTTGAATATTTGTTACAAAACTATTTCTCATTTATTTTTTTTTTTTTTAAAAAAAGTATCTCAAATAAAGGCATTTTAAAGGAGTAAAAATACAAGTCGAGATCCCAACCTCTGACAATAATAAATAGCACGTTCATAGCGAGGTCCTTTTTTCCTTTCCGTTTAAATCTGCTTAAGAAAACCCCCAGACATGACAGGGCTCCATACAACGGAGCCAAAAGAATAAGGGGTTTTTTTTTTGGGGGGAGGGGGTGGTGGAAATCGTTTTAAGCAAGTCACCAAGGCCTCCACACCGATTCACTGCGCTCTCCGATGGGACTTCCCGCCTGGGACGCTGGAACAATGCTGCCCCCAAATGATGTCAACCCCTGCACCGGGGATGCTGATGGGGTGGCGGCCGCGTTCCCCGAGCCGCTGCCTGCGGACACCGGGACATTGGCGTTGGCATACAAGGGAATAACGGGTCCAGAGCTGGGAGGGAAGGCCGGGTTCGGGATGAGAAAAGCAAACTGGCCGTCGGTAGCAGGGACGAGCTGGAAACCCCCATAGACTTTGGGGGACAGGGCTTTGGCGGGGTTCAGTTTGCAGGGCACGGGTACAGCTGCGGCTGCTGCGGGGGGCAGCTGGACATGCAGAGGCTGCTGTGCCAGATGTGCGGGCTGGCCGGACGGCGGTGGTGGCGGCGGCGGGTAGTTCATG